CCAACGCAGCGCGCCGCGAGTCGCTGGCATCATCGAGTGAGCGTGCGCGTGTATGAATTATTGCCACGCGTTACCCGTGTAGGTATATTGTCATTGAACTTATTTATGTATTAATTAATCATAATATATGTATATATACATATATATTTATTTATTTATTTATATATATAACATGAATTATTTAATTAACCAAAACCGAACACTAATTCAGCGTTTCCGAACACTAACCCCACGTTTCCGAACACTAAAACCACGTTTCCGAACACTAATCGCTATTTCTGAACACTAATTGATAATTGAAATAATGATGTAAATATTCAATATATATATATATATATATATATATATATATATATATATATATGTATATATATATATATATATATATTCAGACATTCCAATTAATATACACTAACATGTGTTATGTGCAGAACGTATATACATTGCGCGCTGCGCTATTGCGTGACGGTTTTAGTGTTCGGTTTTAGTGTTCGGTTTTAGTGTTCGGTTTTAGTGTTCGGTTTTAGTGTTCGGTTTTCTGCCGCTGTAATCGCAGCCGCGTTCGCATCCCCCCTACCAAGGCGCCCGCCCGCCGCCCCGCGCCCGTTGCCGACCGCCGCTGCCCCCCGCGCAAGGGCGGCGCGCGCGGCCCGACCCCCCGACACCACCCGCGCGCCGCGCCTGCGCCAACCGGGGTCGCGGCCGCCCGCTGCGGGCCGAGCCGACGTGCCGACCGCCAGCGCAACCTTCCGGCGCTGTCGCCAGTCGGCCACAGCCTTTGCGTCAGTCGGGGCCTTGCCTCAGGCGCGCCCGTCAACTCTAGGCGCGCAGGGCCAAATCCACAGGCGCGTCGGCGCGCCGTGCGAGCGAGGGTTTGGGCTGGGCCGAACAAGCGAGTTGGGTTCGGCACAGCCCGCGTGCCGCGTCGCCATGTTAGTGCGAGGTCAAGGAACCAGGAGTTGGAAAATCCGTATATAGGAAGGATAAGGGCCCGATGCGCGACACCGAGGGTCGCGGAACGCGTGGGGTCTAGGGTGTAAGGCATTTGGCGTAGGGTCTAGGGTCCAAGGGTTAAGAAATTCTGGCCCAGGGTCTAGGCGTAAGGCTCGGGTGTGTGGTCTAGGGTCATAGTGTCACGGTTGTAAGGTTTTGGCGTTATAAACCGTTAGCGCTAGGCTAGGGTCAAGGATCGCCCAGGGTCCACAGCGCAAGGCCCAGGGTGAGGAATCGAGGGTTTGGGATCCGATCTAGAACCTAAGCTCGGTTCTCAAGCGGCCTAGAGTTAGGAGACTAGGGGCTTGGGCTTGGGCCAAGAGCATCAATGCCAGATCGGCCTGTAACATACTTAAGTATAGGGGATATAGGTAGGTATTATATATTATATGATGTAGGTCACAGGCTGTCAGGTTCTCGGGTTGAGGACCCAACGTCGAAGCGCTCGTGGGCTTGCGGTGGGAGGCATAGCGTTGGAAAACAAGGCCCCAATGCCTTCGCGCGCCAAATTTCCCGCTTTTTGGCGGGTGGCGTATTATTTCGAGGGGGGGCGGGCAACCGGCATGTGCACGAGATTTCAGAGGCCCGCGCGGATTTCTTGGATCGGAACTGGACCTCCCCCTCCCCTAGTGCGCTTCTGGGGCCGCCCCTGGCGCGCTCCGCGCGCCTGGGGGGTTGGGGCCGGTTCAGCGCTGATCCAAGCAATGCCCGTGGATTTTTGCAAACTTATGTTTTGCCGTTGTGCCGCATTGTTGTTTGGGGGAATCGTGTGCGTCGGTGGAAGTTGAGCCGGTTAGTTTGCCGCGGCGTCCCAAGCGGCCTGGCCCTGCCCCGGGCGCCCCCCCCTCGGCCACCGCGACTGTCCCGGCGGCCGCCGGCGACCATGCCGGACTCGGAGCCCGACGACGACATGTCCGACCCTGGGCCCCCCTGGCCAGTTGGAATCGTCGGCCCCGCCACCGTGTCTAGGAGTCTGGGGCATTCGGGCGTTGGCCCGCCTTGAGGGGAAAGCGAGGCGGGGTGGAGAAGCTTGGGGGGAGGAATATAGGCGGAGCAGCAGGAACAGCAGGAGGAAGAGGAGGAGGAGAAAGAGGAGAAAAAGGAATGGCAGGAGAGAGGTGTCAGAGAGGGGTCCACGGGAGCCGGTTTGGAAGGAATAGGAAGGGGAGGTGAAAGATGAGGAGACAGATGATGATGATGTTGATGATGATGCTGATGATGATGATGATGAGGGTGATGGTGATGGTGATGGTGATGGTGATGATGATGATGATGATGATGATGATGATGACGATGATGATGATGATGATGATGATGATGATGATGTGATGATGATAATGATGATGCTGCTGTTGCTGCTGATGATGATGATGGTGATGGTGATGTCAATGCTGATGATGTTGGGAAGGAGGAGGAGAAGGAGGAGAAAGAGGAGGAGGGGGGAATGGTAGGAGCGAGGGAGAGAAGAGGATCGTGCCTCCCCAGGCAAGCAGCAGCCGACGGCGACGACGGGAAGTCCAAGAGGAGCAAGCAGACCTCCAAGTCGTCCGTGGACGAGTTCGGGCGCAAAATCAAGACGTGCAAGTTGTGCAACTGCAAGAGCAGCAGTCCGAACCCGCTGGAGTCGGCAGGGCTCGGGGTAAATCCTCCATTGCCTCCTCCTCCTCCTTCTCCTGTTCCTCGTCCTCCTCCTCCCCCTCCTCCTCTCACTGGCCTAAAACCTGCAGCATAGAAAGCATTCCCTCCCTCCCTATCCCCACGATTGGAACTGAATCACCGTATCTCTTATCCCGCTCATCTCCATGCCGACCTTGAGCATCCCTCTGAGTTTCTGAGGGCGCATCCCTAGTAGTGGAATCACATGTTTCTTTGTCAACCCTGGGATAAGATAGGGTGTCGCGGGTGGTCTCGGCATCTACCGAGATGCCAGTTAGATCGAAGTCAAGAGTAGGAATTCGGATTCTAAGTTGGCCGCCCCCCCACACCCAACTCGCCCCCCCGCTAAACAAATGCCGGACCCCCTCGCCCCCGCACCCCCCAACCCCAACTACACCATCCACCCCTCATCCCTCGCCCCATTCCAGGGCAGGCCAGACGACAAGTACAAAGGATGCCGCCCTTGGCGGTACGTCCAGAAGAAGATCCTCAATGGTCAGGTTTTTTTTGAAGCTGTTGGTAAGATATGCCTTATTTGTTTCAACGTGTATCGGATCTTGGGGCTCGACAGCGAGCACAAGAGCGTAAAGGAGTATTGCGGCGCCATCCGCAAGAACGCCAACATCCACGCGCCGTTTATGGACGCCGTGGCCAGGTTCATCAGGGAACACAACGAGGATGAGGATGGCGCCAGGCTCAAAAATGCAGCAGATTTCAAGAAGGCGGCCACCCTGAAGGCCGTGAGCAAGTCTGGGTCGAGGATCGCCAAGCCGAGGCTGATCTTCGTGGACAAGGATACCTACGAGAAGGAATACGGGACCGTCGACACATCCAAGCTCATCCACAAAGTGATCGACGGCAAGGTTGCGCCTTTCTCTTTTCGGATGCCCCCGCGCTTGGTGGCGATAGAGGAGATGGGGGGGAGGAGGGTGGGGGTGAGGAGGAGTGGGAGGGATGTTGTAGGCGAGGGGTGTTGGGGTTCGGTCGAGCCGCCTCATCATCTCGCCCACTTTACCATTCCCGATCCTTCCTCGCTTCCGCATCTCCCCCTCCCCCCGCTTTACCTCTGATTCTATGCGTGTCGCTGTGCCATGGCTATATGCCGCATATGCCTACGCCGGTCCTCCTGCTTCAACCGCCGGCCTCGCCTTTCGCAGCCCCCCCCCTCCCGCGCAGGTTACGCAGGGCCTCGCCATGCTCGCGCCGGGCGAGAAGGCAGGCCACTACCACATCGAGGACTACGAGGATCAAGGATTCGAGCATGAGGAGGTCTTGGACGACGGATCGGTGCTTCGGGCTAATGTGTGCTAACTGAAATGACGAACGCTCAACATACACACACACACACCCATGCCCGGCCCATGCACCGCCATAGAGGGGTGTCGGAGCGAAGAAGGGTTGTCGGACGCCCAGGAGGCTTCCTATTGAGGAGGGGCCCCACCCGACAACGCATAGCCTCCTCCGCCCCTCCTATGGGTATGGTCTGGGTGTGTGTGTGTGTGCGTGTGTGTGTGTGTGTGCGTGTGTGTGTGTTGTTCGTTCGTCATTTAGTGACTCAGGGTTTCAGACGCTACATTGCATTCAATACGTTAGTGTATCGATTCGGGCATGCTGCATGCTGTCTGGCATTTCCTGGTCATCGGTTTCGGGCTTCAGCATCGGTCGGTCGGAGTGTCCTGGCGCGGAGGTGCAGCGTGGCATCCGAGGGGCGGTTCAGATTTCAGGTCGATCAGTTCAGATTTCTCCGGCCCATGGCCCCTTTGTAAGCAACGTGTCTTTCATGTGTCTCACGTGACTACTTCTCGGCCTCAGATTTTCTGCCGCCCCCTGTGCGCGGCGGCCCAGACGAGGCTCAACTTTCAGAGAACCAGCTAGCCGCCAAGAAGCAGAAGCTTTCGGAGGCCATGACAAAGTCGAACAACCATGCGACGAACGTTTCAATGACTGATGTCCTCCAGAGGCTCGCGCTAGGGAAGGCTGGCACCGGTGATGATTCAGACGCCGAGGGCGAGGGAGATTGTTCTGATGATAGCGATGCCAGCGATGACGACTCCGAGAACGTTGATGAGATATCCCTCGGTGGCGCCTTGGCAAGCATCTTGGGCAAACAGAAGCAGCAGCCCACATCAAAGGGAAAGCCAGCGGCAAAACAAGGCGCCCCAACTGCCCGCACAGGGAAGAAGGCTTCAGGGTCTGCGAGCAGTTTCACCACCCCGGCCAAAGCGCAAGCCAAATCAGTGGCGCCAGCCCCAGCTCCTCCAGGGAGCGATGGCAAGAGGAAGAGGGGTCGACCACCAAGTAAGCCAGCCGTAATCATGGATCTGGGTGACAAGTGGGATTCCCTAGTAGAGGCAGTGGGTAAAGAGATGAAGACGGCCTACGACAAGTTGATCACTATCGATTGGACCGACGCCTACGACATTACCAGACCCCCCGAGGCCAAGGAGTTCAAAAAAGTCCTCACCGATCGGCTGAAGGACATCAGCGCAGCTAAGAAGATTATCGACAAGTGCAGCACCAAGCTCGGCACCATCCCTCAGGAGGCGAGCGAGGTCGCGCAGGACGCCTTGGATGAGGTGGGCCAGATCGCCAGCCTCATCGCTGCGATGACCGACGTCTGCAAGCAGTGCGCCGGCGAGGTGACTGACGAGAACAACCTGAAAGACAATCTGGCCATCATGACCCAGCGCAGTGTGAAGGTCACACTGGCTGGGGAGGCGAAGGAAGGCGAGAAGGAGAAGGAGGAGGATGCGGAAAGGAAACGCGGAGGATGGGGAGGAGGAGGAAGCGGAGTAGGATGAAGAGGAGGAGGGGGGGGATGAGGAGGAGAAGGAGGAGGAGGAGGAGAAGGGGGACGAGGTGGAGGAGGGGGGCGGTGCACAGAGAGGGGGGGGCAACGTGACGTGCCGCTCTGTCTAGTTAAGTTTTTCCCTATCTAGGCTCTGCCTAGAAGGGTTCTTACTCCACGCCCCGGGCGGTTCCCCCAGGATCCGCCCCGCATTTCCCCCAGTGACGTTCCCTTAGCTTAGCGTTGCTTATCTCATCTTAGCTTAGCTTCTTTCATCTTAGCTTAGCTTAGCTTTAGCTTAGCTTTAACTTGGCTTTAGCTTAGCTTTAGCTTAGCGCTAGCTTGGCTTTAGTTTTGGTTTAGCTTAGATTTAGCTTAGCTTTAGCTTAGCTTTAGCTTAGCTCCAGCTTAGTTTTAGCTTAGCCACAGCTGAGCTTTAGCTTAGCGCTAGCTTAGCTTCAGCTGAGTTTCAGCTTAGCTTTAGTTTAGCTGTAGCTTAGCTGTATTAGCTTCAGCTTAGCTTTAGCTCAGCTTTAGCTTAGCTTTAGCTTAGATTTAGCTTAGCTTTAGCTTAGCTTAAGCTTAGCTTTATGTTAGCTTTATCTTAGCTTTAGCTTAGTTTTAACTTAGCGCTAGCTTAGCTTTAGCTTAGCTTTAGCTTATATTTACCGTTACCACTAATGCTGTTGTCCTAGGAGCTCCAACTCCTAGGTAGGGTCGCACTGGGATACTTTATTTCTTGAGTTCTCGGCGGGGTCATTCGGTGTTGGGCGTCTTGGCGGCTGACGGGCTGGTAGGGGAATGTGGTGTGCAGAGTTTTGGCGCTCCCAGGTCGGCCGCTCGTTCTGGCACAAGCTGCTGAAGAGTCAATGCCACTCGGCCGTGGCGTTCCACGACTACCCGAAGTTCGCGCTCGCCGTGTCGAATTGCAGCGATGCCGTCAAGGCGCTGGTGGGCACCACGTCCGAAACGGAGGCGGAAAACATCGTCCTCGCGTTGATTGAGCAGCAGTTCCAACACTTCTTGAAGTTGATGCCACTCAATGAGATCACGAAGCCAGGTTTGACGAGGGGTCGATGCAAAGCTTTCTTGGCCTCCCTGAACACCGAGGAGACCGTGGGCCACAAGCACCTCAAGGGGCAGCTGTCTCTGATATTGCACGTACTTGCTCCCAAGGAGTCGGACAGGGCTGCCCTTGCGTCGGCGCTCGAAGAGTTCGAGCAGCACCAAGATGATGACGACGGCCTCCCCATGATTCTTGCCATGAAGAAGCTGGAGAAGGGAGCCCTCATGATTGCGAATGCTCTGGAAGTGCTCGAGGGGCGGCAGTCCGAGGTTCAGGCCGACAAGCTTCTGACCTCTGCGCACGCCGCCGTCGCCGAGGTGAAGGCTTGCTTCGACACGGAGCTCGACGGCGCCGCTTTCAAGAGCTCGATCGGGAAGGCGCTTTCATGCATGGGAGCTCTCAGATCAGGCAAGCTGTCCAAGCACCAGAAGGCGACCTTGGCGGAGCTGCACGCCAAGATCGACACGATGATCATCGATGCAATGAACAAGTTCATGGAGCGCTTGGTCGGGGACGTCCTCGAGCCACGGGATGGCGCAGCTGCCGTCGCAGCTTTGGAGGCCAGAGTTGTCCTTCTCTCCTCTCTTCTCTACCTCCCCCGTTCCCTCCAACCTCCCCAGGCTTTCTCGTTCAAGTCCTACCTCCCGGAGTCTACGGCGTTGGTGGGCGACCGCGTGTGGGCCCATTCTTCCAAGGTGTCGCCGTTGCTCTCGGCATTGGCCCACATGGCCAAGATTCAAGGCGCTTCGGGTGATCGTATGTTCGATGCCACTTTCATGTCGAAGGCTACTGCAATTTCGGAGCTGATCGCAAATGAGAAGGTTGGCTTCAATGACGGGATCATGTCTAAGCTGGCCGTTCTGGAGAAGGAGGTCGCGATTGTCCAGCGTGAGGCCTTCATCACCATCGCGACCCGCGCGTCCACGTCGCTCGCCACCATGGTCTCCGGCAAGCGCGACCTCACGGAGGAGGAGAGGGGCCCGATCATTGCGGACATTGCCGACATGAAGATTCTGCTCGACCTGCCCTTGCTAGACGTGAACAAGGCCGAAGGGGATCGGGAGTCGTTTCTTCTTTGAGTGGTGGGACCGATCGGGGTGCCTTGATGTCGAGGCGACGTGGGAGTAGGAGGAGCAGGAGGAGGAGGAGGAGGAGGAGGGGAGGAGGAGGAGGCCGAGGAGGTGAAGGAGGAGGGCGACGAGGATCAGTGCAACATTAAGTTAAGTTATATAAAGTTATAAGGGCGGTATAAGGTAGCAGTAGTTAGAAGTGAGGTATCAGTTATTATTAAGTTGTAAGGTGTAAGTTATAAGTGATAAATTAGTTATAAGTTATAAGTTAAGGTGAGAGTTGGGCAGGTTCTCAGCTCTGACCTTAAACCCAGGCTAGCCACTTGATTCGCTCGAGGACCGATACCTCCAGCTAGTCAGCCCACGTCAGCTGCCCATCCTTTGTCTCAGCCCGCGCCTCCTCCGTAGTTCGGAACATTCGGATTGGCCCGCCTCTCTTTGCAGAGTCAGCTGCAACCCTGAGGCTCCACCAACGTTGGCCTTCTTCATTTCGATTCTCGTTTGCCGATCTTCGTCGGCGGGCACGCAGACCCCCGCCCCCTCATCCTGCCCGCCCCCGGCGCGACAGGCGGTGGCGTATTTGGTCATCGACGGCATCTACGCGGCCGGCGAGATGTACCTCGAGGCCGAGGAGCTCACGGCTGACTACATCAAGGCGAGCGCGCAATGGTCAGAGCCCCGAATCATCAGGGGCAACTCGGGTCAGGGATAACTCGGGTTCGTTTTTCGGGAATCCAAACCCGAGTTACCCCAAGCCCGAGTTACCTCGGATAACTCGGGCGTCCAGAGCCCCGAATCATCAGGGGTAACTCGGGTCAGGGCTAACTCGGGTTCCTTTTTCGGGAATCCAAACCCGAGTTACCCCAAGCCCGAGTTACCTCGGATAACTCGGGCGTGCATAGCCCCGAATCATCAGGGGTAACTCGGGACAGGGCTAACTCGGGTTCCTTTTTCGGGAATCCAAACCCGAGTTACCCCAGGCCCGAGTTGCCCCGGATAACTCGGGCGCCCAAAGGGGGGGGCGGCAGGAGCATGAATAGGTTCGGAATGGGCGATGTCAAGAGTAAAAGGTAGACGATGGAGGGCTGACTGGAAACGGCGGGCCCAGGAGGGGCGTCGGAGGAGGCGGTGGAGGGAGGGGGCCGATCAGTCGAAGTCTTGTTGTTTGCTTCTGTCGCCTCTCAGGGGCCGCGTGTGACCCCCTCGCTGGAGGGGTGTATGGGCTGCTCTCGCAGGGCGGTCGGGCAGTCAGTTTCGCAGAAAGGTGAGGCCCAAGACTCATACTCATAGGAGTGTCGGATGTAGGAGGATTGGCTAGGCTATGGCTATGGGCCAATGGGCCAATGGCATGGGTGCGGGTTGTCGGACCCCAGGGGGGCTCTCGTTCGAGCAGGGGCCCTCATCCGACAACGCGCACCCATTGCCCCCTTCCGTCCCCATATTTGTACGGGTGTATGGGCGCGCGTGTTATGCGCTCGTCAACGATTGCGGGAGAGGTGGGCAGGGGGGCGATCTAACATGTAATCGGGTCGTAGACGGACCAACATCATATGAAACATATACCATCTATCATATATCAGATCAAGGGTACTTTACTTGCAGGGTAGAGTGGTGTATACTGTACACTGCATACTGCATAGCGAACACGACGCACGATAACAAATACACAATGCTAACGCTATCACTACACGTTATCACGTCCTATGTATCTTAGGCTAGGTCAAATGTCCTCCTCCTGGTTCTTGCTTAGGGCTCCCAGTATAGGCTAGCAGCATCAGAGGCTCCGATGTTCAGTGGGGCTCTCTCAAGGTTCGTGACGCCTCGCGAGAGTAGTGACGCCTCGCGAGAGTAGGACCTAGGACCTAGGTAACAACTGCGGTGCTGCCATCTCTCAGATCAAAGGTCTTACTAGATCAGGTTTGGGGCCCCCATCATGGGTTCAGAATCGGAGGCCCCCAAGTTTCAGGGGGCTCTCTCAAGGTTGGGCGCAGCACGTGCGGGCGGCGTCTCTCGCGATTAGCTTTTAGGCTCGATGTAGGCATGTTGACCCCGTCCCCTGTGGGCAAACGACAGCGACACCCTCGCAACCGCCGAGTTCGCGTCGCCCGGAGCCCATCGGGGAGAATATTGCCTTCACCTTGGTTCGAGAAGTTGAGGAAAAGCGACCACTCGTTCAACGCTTCGGCTGTCCCGTTCCCGATGCCGAACCACCCCAACCAGTCTCTAGTGGGGGCGGACTTCAAGGACGGCTCCGCTCTTCACAAAGTGATGAGCAACGTTGTCCAGACCCTGTGCGACACTACGCCTATCCCAGCCGCACTCCCGCAAGAACTGACCTTCTGCGGGACGTGCTCAGGCAGCGGGATGGACTTTCACATTTCGAGCGCCATCCAGCACGCCTTGCGGGTCAAGGGCGGCAAAGCAGTAACGTGTACCCATGCGTTTTTGTGCGAGGTCGACAAGAAGAAGGCCCAATGGATCGTCGACACAACTGAAGACTGCTGCGTCTTCTTAGACATCCGCGACGTAGTGAAGCCGAGAGCTGATTGCTTGCGGCATCGCACCCAATGCCGCCCAAAGCGTGCCATGATATACCAGTCGGGCTTCTCGTGCAAGGGCGCCTCCAGGGCCAACAGCGAGCCGGAGCAGAAGCGCATCCGCCCCTCTGTCATCAGCGTCGAGAACGAGGGCAGCACGTACGTCACGTTCTGGGGGACGATTGAGGTTCTCAGGGTCCACAAGCCCGACGTCGCCTTTCTCGAGAACGTCGACGGGATGGCCGACTCTAGCGAGGACAAGTCACTCGTGACAGGGGGGGAGAAGGAGGAGGGGAGGAGGGGGAGGTTGAGAAGGAGGAGAAGGAGGGAAAATCATATGATGAGATGACAGGAGGAGGAGGAGGAGGAGGAGGAGGAGGAGGAGGATGAGGAGGAGGAGGAGAATGAGGAGGGGTGAGGATGAAGAGCGCCCAGGTTGAGTGAGCGATTCAGTGATCTGAATGGCCTGAGTGATCTGAGTGATCTGAGTGAGTGAGTGAGTGAGTGAGTGACCGATCTATCTGATATAGGCTATATAGGAGATAGGTCGCTCATTTACCCACTCACTCACTCACTCGCTCACCCAGTCACTCTCTAACTCTGAGATCTCTGAGATAAGAGATAGGTTACCCACCACTCCTGTTCTTCCCCTTCGCCATCTTGTTCCTCCCAGGGCCTCCGGGGTAGGAGCTGGAAGGTAGTTAGGGGGAAGGGCAGGAGTGCACCCAGGTGACTAACGTGGACGCCGCGGTCCGCGCGATGGCTGAGATCGGCTACTACTGCCAACCCATGAAGGGTGACGCGCATGACTGGGGCGCCCCGTGCGCCAAACTTCGCCTCTGCTTTCCCGCCGTGCGCAAGGAGTCTCCTTTGCTGGGGAAGCTGGTTTGCAAGAAGTACTACTATGACCTGCTGAAGATGGTGCGGTCAACGCGGCACGTGGCCCCGGACATCAGGGACTGCCTCTTGGAGAGCAATGACCCTGCCGTCGTCGAGGACTTGAGGCAGCGGAGCAGGGCCCAGAACGCGCAGCACTCAGAGGACCCGTCCCATCAGGAGTGGCCGAAATTGCACTCGGCGTTCTTATCGCAGATGGGCATGCGCTGGGGGAAGCTCTCCCTCGCCCCAAGCACCAAGTTGTCAGACTGGTCAGCTTTGCTCACCAAGCGGCAGGTGGAGGTGCTCGAATACGGCCAGGCCGCTCACAAGCCAGACGACACGGGCCTCAAGGAGAACGATTCGGCGAGCATCGACTTGTCTCAGTCGATTAACCGCTTCGGTATCATCAGGAAGGACGGGCGCGACCGCTTGTCAGCCATGGCGATCTTGCCGAAGGCGTTGTTCTGGTTGGGGGAAGGCGTGGCTCCGGGGCAGCAGAGGCTGATGCTCGGCCGGGAGGCTCTTGCGTTCCTCTTTTTCCCGGCAGCGTCGGTGGATGAGAAGATCCTCTCGGAGGCGGGGGAGTCGTTCATGATGGACTTGGCTGGCAATGCATATTGCGCTTCGTGGATCGGCTCGTTCATTTTGTGCTCGCTGTGGAATCTGCCTTGGAAGCCGATTCAGTTGGAGAAGGCCCCCCTCATGACGCCGCCTCCTAGGGTCCACGGGGACACAAGGTCCTGGGTGCACTTGGATCAGATGCCAGCTACATCGAGCAAGGCCGAGCCCACGGCCTCAGATGAGGTCATCGCCGTCGACGACGCTGATGGCGAGGGCTCCGGAGATGGTGAGATTTCTCCAACCCAGTTGGCCTTAGCATCTTTAGGACTTTCCAGGGGCCGCTAGCCCAACCTTGTCCGCTCGAGAGTTGGGTGGGGGAGACGGGGATAGGATAGGCTAGGGAATTAGGGAATTTCGGAATATGGAATATGAGATAGTGGGGGAGATAAAAGGGTGGGGAGTTGGGGGACAAGAGAAATGGCCGCTCATTCATTATGTGGCCGGTAGCAGCTCGTTTAGATAGGAGTTGCAATCAGGTCGGGCGCGAGATGCTTCGATTCAAGTGTCCGAGTTTGTGGGGACAATTCAGAGCTGGTTTCACGGGGATCGGTGAAAGGGCCGCTCTCGTTCATCTTATCGTCTATCCAATTGTCACTCCGCTCCTCCTGGTCCTGTATCGTGATCTGATACCCCGTTGCGAGGCTCCCTGGCCAGTCCCATGTTGTTGAACCTGACCCCAAAGATAGTCGATATTCGCGTCGATCGTGATCGGAGTTCCGTGTTGAGATCGGGCCGCGCACCCATGCCCATGCTGCCGATGCCCATAGGGAGTCAGAGGGAGGAGGGCTGCATGGGTGCGGGTTGTCGGACCCTGGGAGAGGCCCCCGCTCGAGCGGGGGGCCCTGTCCGACAGCGCGCGCCCATAGCACCGTCCGACCCTCTATGGTATATGATTCGGCATGGGCATGGGTGTGCGTTGTTCGTTCGTCA